TCACCGAAAGTAGGCCTATTTTCAACTTAACTGTGTAACCTTAATTTACTGAGTTTTTGTTAGTTTCTACGTCGGTTTAACTGGAAAACCCGTTACCTATCCGGACTGGCCTCGGTCCTGATAAGAGGGAGTCTACTATGAATTTGAATGGAGGTTGTTTTCCCTGGGGACCTCATGAAACAAAAAAGTAAATTGGACCTGGGTCCAGGTCTTGAGAAAATCTATGGAAAGTAGAAGACCTGGTACAGTAAGTTAATAGCTTTTTCACTATATGGGAAATTTGCTTAAAAGGTCAAGCAGTGTATTTCAGAAACAATGTTGGTGAGTGAGCGTAGCGAACGAACTTCAACCTGGAGGCGAGTTAGCATAGCGAACGAGCTAACCTGAAGGCCAGTGAGCGTAGCGAACGAGCTAACCTGAAGGCAAGTGAGGGTAGCGAACGAGCTCCAACCTAAAGGTGAGTGAGGGTAGCGAACGAACTTCAACCAGGACGTGATTAAGCCATGCGAACGAGATCATCTTGAAAATTAAGAAGTTAAACGGGGCAAAGCCCGCGGGATTATAAATAGTCAAAGGCAAGACAACGTCTGCCGGGTTCAGCTAGTACCATATAAAATCTAATGTAGCCTATAGTTTGTTTGTTTGTCTTTTATGGACTCTGAAACCGCTTGACAGATTGTAATGAAACTTTAAGGCATTATCAAGCATTATTCAAGGATGGTTTGAGAGAAGTTTGGTGCAGATCCGTCAAAAGGGCCCCGCCCCAGTGGCTCTGGAGTTTTTTTTTATGTTAACGTTATGAGTACTTATATTTAAATGAAATTAAAGAATCTTAACAGCTGGTTCAACTAAACAATTTGATTCTGTGATGTTCAATAGCATTAAAAAGTTAGGCTAATAGGTTTACCAACAGGGTGCAGCACTATTATTTTTTTAAATTTATGACAACAGCTAATTTGCAACGAAAAGGTGAGTGAGCGTAGAGAACAAACTTCAACCTGGAGGCGAGTTAGCATAGCAAAGCTAACCTGAAGGCAAGTGAGCGCAGCGAACAAACTCCAACCTAAAAGTGAGTGAGCATAGCGAAAGAACTTCAACCAGGACGTGATTGAGACATGTGAACGAGCTCATCTTGAAAATGAACGAGCATTTGACATAAACTTAAAACCACATTATGACAGGACGACGTCTGTCGGGCCAGCTAGTTATTAACTATAAAGGTAACCTAATAACCTTAACTTACAAAGGCTAAAAACAAACCAGGACTACTATACGCCTAACTAACAATCAGAAGTTAAGTTATGAAAATATTTTAAAAAAACAATCCACAATTTCTTTTAAAAATCTATAAGTTTAAGAACATTCAAGGCCTACCTACCTTTACATAACCAGAATTTAAAATTAATAAGTTAAGTGCATATGGGGAATAGGCTATCAAACAGAATTTTGAAATGTTTCACAGCAAGTTTAGTTTGTTAAGAACAATATTTATTTATCGTAGTTGTCAGCTGATAAGTTTCAATTTGTTAATATCAATATATAAAAAGAAATCATCGATAATAATGAATGTTCCCTTTAACAGAAAAGTACCTATATAGCCTAAAATTTGAACAAATGGTATTGGGCCTCTGGGGACATCAAAATGAAAAAAGTAAATCGGTCCCGGGCCTGTGACTTACCGTGCCACCTAATAGACTACTTCCTGTTCCCAATAGGAAAATTCGCTAAAACCGCTAAATTTGATACCGTAGCTATAAAATCGAGCTAGGCTCAACTTATAGGCCTACCTTGTGATACACAATATTTTGAAAGCGGACTATGGACCTAAGGGCGCAGCCCTAAGTTAGTATCACACTATAACTTAGGCTATATCACTATAAAATATACATAGTGCCTGACACCTACATCAAGAGAAAATCTTTGTGTTGCTAGCCTAGTTAGCCTAATTAGCGTTTTGGATTTCGGTGCTGGGGGGTCAGGTTGAATTCCCGGCACATGAACAAAACTTAAATGGGTTTGGACTGCTTTCCTTCAAGTTTGCGTTTGAAAAAACTTGGGCCTCAATTAGCTTAAAAGTTATAGGCTAAATGCCACTGGGGTAGACAACTCAAATCTATGTTTAGGTGTTACTAACTACTAACCTAACCTAACCTAACCAATCCTAACCCAAAATAAAGCCCGCATTCTACAATGGCTTAGAGTCACCCGCAATGCTAGCGCCATGCGGCAGTACTTAGATAAGTAGCAAGCGGCCGCTTTTCCTGTTTTTATTTTACTTAGTAGTGGTCCGATCGTAATACAAATTTCATATTCTTGTTCAGGAGGAAATTCCGCACAATTTGAGTACCCACAACATGGGTTTTGGGCAAAAAATGATTTTACCCGTTTTTCCCATTTTCCTGGAAAACGGGACGTTTCCGCCAAAAATGAATATCGTTTTTGGAATCAGCACTAAAAAACGAACAGATTAAAAAAAAAAATTAATTTTTAGAGCGTTGACTGGAGGTCAACAGAATTACCAAAATAATAATCACGAAAAATAAAACATCCCTGGAGGTTACTTCCGTGATGCGAGCTCTGGAAGGTTAATGCTGTCTGGGTCTAACATATAAAAATTCTCAAGAGTGTTTCGAAGTTCAGTGATTTGGAACCTGTAAATAGCCTAGGCCTTAGTTAGGGTAGTTTGTTAGGGACAATAAGTAGGCCTAACCTGACATTTAAGGCTGAGTTGAAGAAGCCAAGGCCTAAACTTAAGTTACTAGACTTGACTCAGTTACATGGGGTGGGAATGTACATTATGATCAATAAATATAGGCCTACTTCATACTGGATACTGGACAAAATAAAACTCTCAAGTTCGGGATGAATCTAGCCCAGTTAATTATTCTCTCTCAGGCTAGGCTCTGCACCCCCCCCCCCTATTTGAAGAAACCCTTGACTCTTTCAAAATGTTGTTTTTAACAATATGTAGTAATTCAGCTCGATATTCTAGCAAATTGACTGCCTGTTTCCCAATTTGTATAGTGAAAACATTTGGCAGGCCGTACGGCTACGTCGACACCTGGTTGAGAGACTGGACATTTTACGAGAAGTTTCACTTTTGGAGGGTACAAAATGTTCGTAACTTGCTGAGGCTTAACATAAGAGTTAATATGTTTTGTCGTCGATGTTAACGTTTCATTATAAGATTCATATTTTATAAAAATAAGTAAATTTATTAGAAAACAACGTGGTCTTACCTCATGGCTACACTACTTCGGGAGCATAAAGGAAATTGAACACAGGCTGTTCACCGTTCAACATGAAATATACAGGTGTGGCAACAGTATTTCACGTTTTGGTATGTACACGTATAGTGTATGTATGTAAGAACTGTTTTGTATGTGATCTCCCCTTCCACTAAGGTGATCTCCTATCTTATACAGATGATGAACTCCTATGATTAAAAGGATTTATTTGTATAATCAATCACATGTATTATTAATCTCATGACTCTTTGAAGATATATAATCAATGATAGTAACAAACATGTTTTGACACCTAGGAAAAATTTAACTACATTATTAAAATGTTTAGTAGCATTCCCGTATAACGTTTAAATGTTTACACGAATTCAGGTTACTCTTGTGTACCACAGCTCTTTGTTGCTAGTTGGTTAGAATTAGCTGTAGCATTGACTATTAATAGTCAAATGCTGTAGTCATAAATGCAAAAAAATAATAGTGCTGTACCCTGTTGGTAAACCTTATAACTTATTTAATGCTATTCACGTTCGCTACTGCAATAGTACGACGTGAGTACGACATTTTTCTTTCACATGGAACAGCGACGCACATATGCGACGGCCGGTTTCTACCAAGGCCTCGCTGGAAAATCACTAGAAAAAAGTTTTTCTAGTGGAGCCTTGTTTCTACCTATAGACTGCCGTCGCATATTTGCGTTGGGGTTCTAATGTTATTAAAATGCTTATATCTTTGTAACGGTCTATTTGAAGACACTGAATTCCCTGCAGTGGTCTACGGATATGTCTGACGCACAACTGCGTCGCTTATGGTCTGTGGATATGATGATTGGTGACGTCATATGATAGTTGGAAAAAGGAAAAACCACTGGGAAAAACTGGTCTTTACTTTTCTGCATCACTTTATGTACAGTATGCATCGTATGTATGCAGTTCAGCAGTATGTATGCTAGTATACTGCATTCATATGTAGCTTTTATATTTATTCAGTTATAAACTGTTCTTGAATAATCTGTTTTTTACTTACTTTCACCTCAAACACAAACAAAAATGAACTGTCGCATATATAAGGCGTTTGGGCTATTTCAAGAAAACTATGATAATAATCACTATTTTCTTCGCTGTAGACCGGGCGTCGCAAATATGTGACATTACAAAAGGTTATCAAAAATACAAAAAACAAGAATAAATTAATAATTTACAAACACGATTGCAGCGTATTACCACAAAGGATTTAAGTTTTACAGGTTTTCTCCCGTGGTCTTGTGTGTACTGTCATAGATAAAAGGAGTATTATAGACAATCTATGGTACTGTTAACCAAATGACCGCCGGTCTATGTGTAAGATTCAAATGTATACCTCGGTCTGTGGCACGAATACTAGAAATATTTCTCTAGTATTCGTGGTGTGTGGCAATGACCGCAGCGTCACATATATGCGACGCTGAACGTGTTAATAATATTATAGAAACAACTCAAGACTGAATGCCAAAACATAATTGTCCGTTAAGTTATTTTTCAATACTAAAATAAACATTTGGGTAAATAAGGTTTATAATCAGTAGTATATAATCAATGGTATACTAATTTATGATTTATACGATTAGTAGGCTACAGTGAAACATATGTTCTTCAAAATTACTGTAGAATAGAAATTGAGTGTTTGTTTACCACTTTGAATGTTTTGTTTTGGTTTGTTTTTGGTTTGTTGTCTGATTTCTACTAGTATATTGTTGTTATTGTTGGTGGATTTGTGTGTATTTCAAGTTTTCTCTTCAGAAATACAATTTTTTACAATTATAAAACAGAAAACCGAGGTTAAAATTAAGTCAAACCCTATCAGATTAATAATGGATCTTAAAATTATTGAGTTATTAGAAGGCATAACATATTATTTAGACAAAACTGGCTACTTTAGTACACTTGAGAAACAATTTGAAGAATTTCATGTGACAGATGTGTCATCTTTCCCTTATATAAAATGTGATATACAAATAGATTTCCTTAAACTAGGAGTGATATCAGGTAACTTGATTAAGGAACCAATTTGGTTGGTTTTTGATTGCTTATTGTTGAATTTATGTAAGTTAAGCTTAGCCTAACAAACATTTTGCAAAATAACCAACCATTTATATCAGTTAAAAATCATCAAAATATTGCGTACAATATAGGCCTATTTTAACATTTTAAAACAGAATTCCAGCTTTTAGACATTCCAAGAATATATATTTCAAATACAATATATATTATACAACATGGATTATACAATATATTATTTTGAGCTGTATTTCATAAAATCATCAAATTGATACAGTTGCAACTTAGGCCTAGGGTGTTTAACTTAGGCTATGTGGGGGGGGGCGGACATTTTTCCTTATCGCTTTGGATTGGCTCCCTTGAAAACTTTCCTATGGGTGCCTATAATATAATTTTCTCCAAAACATTTTATTAAAATGGTTGCTTGTTGATCCCTTTTACAAACTTATAGATTATAAAGTGGTGACTCTATTGTCAGCCAATTTCTTTTAGAGAGATATCTTAGTTTTATGACCGTAGTCTTAATCATTAATTTTCAAGTCTGGGATTCAGTAGCCACTGTACTTATTTTTCGTGGATCCCCAAAACCTAAAACACGGTTTTAAATTGGTAACTTAAGATATGAACGTAGCCAACACCAATTTGAACATGATACTTATTGTCCTACATAATTTAGGCCTAGGCTAATATATTTTGATAATTATTTAGTTTAGCCTAGGTGCCTCCAAACTAATTTTTTATTTTGATGTCTAACGTTATAGTTTTTTACTTCCTGAATCCAAATATAGGCTACCATTATTTTTCACATTTATTTATGTCTAAGCGTACTTCATCACTGAGATATTAAATAAAGGCCCACTAACTACATTGTCTTCCGTGTTATCCCCAGTTGTAATAAACTCCATAGCATAATAAATTTAATGCTGTGAAGTGCTTCTTTACTTATAAACCTCTTGTAGACTATTTTGTGTCTTAAAACCAGTGGAATTTTGCAATTTTTTCAGGAAACAGTCTAAGCCCTGATTGTGTTAGTACCTAACATTGACTTTTTGTGAGACAGAATCATTAATTGTTACCGGTAGCCCAATAGCAAATGACAACTGGGTCCAAAACCAATCTTGCTTTTATTCAAACCAGCTAAACTTAATCAGCCCCAGCCCAGCAACCTGAAACATAATTCTATAAAATACCTATAGGCCTATTGAAAATAATTGAAATATTTTATTAAAACAAATGTAAGCAATCATTTTTTGATCAACCTTTTTACTTATTCAGGGTTGTGGGTTATCTAAGTAGGTATACATTTCCTTTTTTATACGTGTTTAAATAAAAGCTCAATAATCAAAGAAACTGGAAATTGGCCTTGTCTAAAGTACTGTCAAACTACTCTTGCGAGCCCACTGACCTTCCCACACGTACTAATAGTTGGCCATATATAGTCCCGATTCATAACAGTGGAAATCCTTCAGAAGTGGTGAAATACAGGCCAATCAGTATACTAAGTACCGTCCATCGGAAAAGTGTTTGAGATGCTGGTTTTGACAAGATCCGAGTCATTTCTAAAGCCGCTTACTAGCCACCAACCTCCTACTTTTTGAAAATCATTTCCTATCAGCCATGAGAAATGGTAGGCAAATGGATGTCACCTTGTTTTATTTTGAGAAAGCACTTGATAAAGTGGCTTACACCCAGGATAAATCACTAAGTGGTTGAGTGGACTTGTTGCTAAACTCAAAGCCTATGGCGTTGATTGGCTACTCCTTGACTGGAGGGACTAATTTACGGGACGCCGCCAGTGTGTTAAACTGTCTCACTCCAACTCGCTAGAATGTTGTCAGACAGAGGTCCCTCAAGGCTCACTATGTCCATACTTATTCATTGTATTAATCAATGACCTTGTAATGAACTGAAGGTGCACAATCTGCTCTTTACCGATGATGTTAAGATTTTTACAGAGGTGTTGAGCTATGAGGATGCTATGCTTCTGCAGACTAGCCTTACATCCATTAATGAGTGTTGCATTTCCAACAAAATGTCCCTGAATATTACCAAGTGCTCAATCATGACATTCGGCAGATTACGAGAACCGTCACACCACATTCAATATGCAATAGATGGTCAGTTGTTAAAACAAGTCTCAGTGGTCAAAGATTTGGGTGCTACCTTTGTGGCGAATCTTACCTTCGGCAACCACATTGACGGCTTTGACGGAAACCCGGCTTTTGGGTTTTCTCTTTCTATTAACCTGTGGGCTGAGCAATACTTGGGCGCTCAGGACTCTTTTCTACTTTCTTGTTCACCAGCTTCTTGAATAGGCCTATGCCTGCCCAGTTTGGTCTTCTTATCTCATCGGGCAGATAAATCAGCTTGAGAACGTTCAGAGGAAGTTTTTGAGATTGGTTGGAGTTTGCCAGGGTCTGCAATATTGGGAGGTGCCCGAGGCACAAATGCAGGAGGACCTAAATCTCCAGGATCTTTAAGCGAGGCGCTGAGCATGTGACGTGGTCTTCCTCTCTAAGCTTTTAAATGAGCTTTTTGATTGACTGTCCTGCTTTGCTGTCTGAAGTAGATATTCGTGTTCCATCTGGAACAAGATCCCAAGACCTATTCGGAAGGAGGCACTATGCACGTGGATATATATACCATGGATCCCTAGCAAGGATGTTTCGTAATGGGAATGTCTTCTGTACCAGTTTTGATATCTCCTCAGACAGCCAAACTGGAAGAGCAATCAATCTGGAAGAGGGTTCTGGCTGAAATCCACCGCTCATCATAGTTATGGCCATCCACAATCACTGCTAGTATCATTGTTTCAGTCCAATATTTTTATACCAATCTTGTTATTTTATATATTTAAAAAAAATGGCTTTTCTTTTCCGAGTTCGTTTGGTTCTCCTACCCGACCGATTTTCATGATTGAGATCTCAAATTGAAGGTATGCACTCACAGATTTTCCATCAAGCATTGGCATATATTTATCCATAATCCCAACTCGGCTTTTACGTAAACAAAATTTGCTCCTCATGTATTTCTTATTGGAGTTCAAGTTGTTGTTTCTTTTCCTAGTTCGATTGGTTCTTCTACCCGACTGATTTTCATGATTGAGATCTCAAATTGAAGGTATGCACTGACAGATTTTCCATCAAGCATTGGCATATATTTATCTATAATCCCAACTCGGCTTTTACGTAAACAAAATTTACTCCTCATGTATTTCTTATTGGAGTTCAAATTGTTGTTTCTTTTCCTAGTTCGTTTGGTTCTTCTACCCGACCGATTTTCATGATTGAGATCTCAAATTGAAGATTTGCAACAAATTTGCACTCACAGATTTACCATAAAGCATCGGCATATGTTTATCTATTATCCCACTCGGCTTATACGTAAATGAAATTCGCTCCCCATGTATTTCTTATGGGAGTTAAATTTGGTTTCTCTTTTCCGAGTTCGTTTGGTTCTTCTACCCGACCGATTTTCATGATTGAGGTCTCAAATTGAAGGTATGCACTCACAGATTTGCCATCAAGCATCGGCATATGTTTATCCATAATCCCGCTCGGCTTATACAAAAACTAAATTTGTCCCCCTTGCTTTTCTTATGGGAGTTAAATTTGGTTTTTCTTTACCGAATCTTTTAGCCCTTCTACCCGACCGATATTCATGATTGATGTCTCAAATTGAAGGCATGCACGCAAAGATTTCACATCAAGTATCGGCATATATTTACCTACTGTATATTACTCGACCAAAAAACATAATTTGATTCATTTTCAAATTCATACTTTAATTTAAGATGTATTTCACCAGTTATAAAATAAATAAATTGGGCGAGTTTTAAGCAAACGCAAGGTGAACAATCAACATAAAAATTATTTTTCATAAGGCTTACTCAACAAAAAAACTTAATTTTATTCATTTTAAAATTCTTACTTAAATTTAAGATGTATTTCAACAGTTATAATTATATAATCCAATATATTTTTGTCTAAAAACCTTCATTGAAATACTGGCTTTCGTTTAAGCTATTAGTTATTCAAATCGGACGAGTTTCAAACAAACGCAAGGTGAACAACGAAGAATGAACATAAAAATTATTTTTCATAGGGCTTTTCTATGATTAAAATCCATAGCTTACTCAATCAAAAATCATAAATTTGATTTTTTTTATACATTATATTTTATGTTAATGCAGTCTTTGTTATTTTTGATAATTTATACATTTATTTATACTTCTTGTTTGTTGTTCATGTTCATTGGTTGTTATGTATTGATTTTTCTTTGAAATTTATATTTAATATGCTTTGTACCTGATATAAATGAGCTCATTTTTTGTAAATACAGTACTTAAGCCCGTTGTTTTCCTATTTTGTTTCGGGTCGCCGGAATTTTATCCCCCTGGAATTTTATCCCCCTGGAATTTTACCCCCTGGGCAAAGCTGATGTCACTATGACATAGTAACCTGAGCGCTCTAAAGTTTGTTCGTGGCTTTTACCACCGCGGATTTGGAAATCTAATGAAAATATACAGAGCGTGATGAGTTAGATTAGATTACATAACGAACAGTTGGTCCCAAAAATCAAATCCCGAAACTCGATTATCAAAATTAAAATTCAAAACCTGTTTGGTTAGTTAAGGTTACAAATAAATTAAGATAGGCTACTTAATAATGAAATGTTTACTATTATAAATTAAAACTCAAAGAAGAAAATTAATCATTCTCACTTATTTCTATTTCTAACCAGGGGGTAAAAATCCGAGGGGTAAAATTCCGGCCTATACACTCTAGGTTTTTATAATTTGATGTCTTCTGATTAAATTCACAACTGTGAAAATATACATTTAAAATTCCACTTTTAATCCATCAAACTGATGTTGTGCAACTCAAAAGTTCGCGGCCAGAATTTTAACTCCTGGTTTGTGACGTCAGTTTTGCCCAGGGGGTAAAATCCAGGGGGATAAAAATCCGCTACCCCGTTTTCCTATTTTG